GCGCGTTAATCAAAGAGAATTGATATTTAATTAATCTTTCAATGCAATCGGTTGACTGTATGGTGTGTGTGGGGGGGGGGGGGGGGGGGGGGGGGTGGGGGGGTGATGGTGGGGTGGGGGGTGGCCTTTTTCTGTCTCTCTGTCTCTCTTGCTTTTATATTATTTTCACCGTCCAAAATAGACAGAGACAGAGAGAAATCCTTTTCAATTTTCCTACTGAGCACTGCCTCAGGATTGTTCACACGCGTGGTCATTCATATTAACATGTCCTGTTGTATCTCTCTCTACCCCCCCCCCCCCCCACACACACACAGATACATACACAGCAGTTTAACTGGGGTACATTTTTATCATCAACAATTTCCAAGTCACTTTTTCTTTAATCATGAAACAAAAGTTGTGCGTTTTATTCTAAGAAAAAAAATGATCTTTGGGTATTTTTTTTAAAAAAAAATTATGCCCACGCAGACGCACATATATGTTTGTATCTATAGCAAATCTATATGAAAGGAACCTTTTTTTTTAAAAAACGAACAGGCAGGTGAAGAAAGCACCGATACAGAACAAAAGGAAATTTGTTGCACAGAATAAAGTTATTGTCAAGAGGTTTTCTGGAGGGTGAAAGAGTGTTGATGAGGATCACGTTGAGTGCAGGAGTTGGGAGGAGATTTTGGTGGGAAGGAGGTACAAGAGAGAGGGGAAAGAGAGAGAGGCTGTGATCATGTTGAGTGTAGGGGATGGGAGACTTTGGTGGGGAGGAGATGGGAGAGAGGAGAGAGGAGAGAGGGATCATGTTGAGCACAGGAGATGGGAGACGTTGGTGGGAAGGAGATAAAAGAGAGAGGAGAGAGGAGAGAGAGGGATGAAGTTGAGTACAGGAGATGGAGAGATTTTGGTGGGAAGGAGATAAAAGAGAGAGGAGAGAGGAGAGAGAGAGGGATGAAGTTGAGTACAGGAGATGGAGAGACTTTGGTGGGAAGGAGATAAGAGAGAGAGAGAGGAGAGAGAGAGGGATGAAGTTGAGTACAGGAGATGGAGAGATTTTGGTGGGAAGGAGATAAAAGAGAGAGGAGAGAGGAGAGAGAGGGATCAAGTTGAGTACAGGAGATGGAGAGACTTTGGTGGGAAGGAGATAAAAGAGAGAGGAGAGAGAGAGAGGGATCAAGTTGAGTACAGGAGATGGAGAGACTTTGGTGGGAAGGAGATAAAAGAGAGAGGAGAGAGAGAGAGGGATGAAGTTGAGTACAGGAGATGGAGAGACTTTGGTGGGAAGGAGATAAAAGAGAGAGAGAGGAGAGAGGGATCAAGTTGAGTACAGGAGATGGAGAGACTTTGGTGGGAAGGAGATAAAAGAGAGAGAGAGGAGAGAGAGGAGAGAGAGAGGGATGAAGTTGAGTACAGGAGATGGAGAGACTTTGGTGGGAAGGAGATAAGAGAGAGAGAGAGGAGAGAGAGAGGGATGAAGTTGAGTACATGAGATGGAGACTTTGGTTGAGCAGCAGATAGAAGAGAGGAGAGAGATAGATAGAGAGAGACAGAGAGAGAGAGAGAGGGGAGGGTGAGGAGGGAGGGAGGGCGGGTGGGAGAACACAAGTGAGGACACTGCTGAGGATGGGGCCCCGCCCCTCCCGGCCAGCGCCAGCCAATCAGACCCTCATTGACAGGCGGCCAGGCCAATCAGGGAGCCGCCTCCCCTCGCTGCGCTCCTATTGGCTGGTCGCCCCTCAGCCCCGCCCCCCGTGAGCTCCGGGCGGGCTCACTGTCTGTGCGGGAGAGGGGTGGGCGCTGTGTGTGTGTGTGTGTGTGTGTGTGTTGGTGGTGGTCGCCCACTCGCCATCTCCACAACTTTCAGCAAATCTGCAGTGTACTGCTTCACACCTTCCACACTCACACACACACACACTCTCTCTCTCTCTCTCCTTGTTTTGCAATGCACTTAATAATTGTCCTTTGCATTTGATATAATAATAACAATAATAATGATGATGATGATGATGATGATGATGATAATAATACGGCGCCTCATCGCGACTTTCAGGCGTCTCAAAGCGCTTCGCAGAACAGACTGCAAAAGCGAATCGACTGCATAGTCTGCGGCAGCGGCCGACGGCGCGGTCCCACAAACTTGGGACCGAGAGACCACATTATTGTTATTTTTCACTTATTAGGGTTCAGGCAGAAGTGGAGCCTCTCTGGGAAGCAATTGGGACTAGATATGGCATCGTATTTATTTTGATGCATCAAAAGTGAGGCACCCTTCAGTTTTATGCACGCACACGCGCGCACATAACATGCACATAACATGCACATAACATGCACCTGGTAAGGCGATTTCTTTTAAAGGGTGAAACACTTTTGATCCCCACCGCGACCGCCGGATACCGGTTTAAATGATTGCCCTGTTTCGAAAAGAGAAAGCGAGTCAGTGTTTCATTGAATCAATGAAATCGGCTGTGCACCGATTCCGTATATCAAGCAACGCACAGCCAATCCACTTCACAATATATTCCGTGAAGCACTTTTAGACGTCCCGACAAGGCGACCAGGCGCCGTGTCAAACGTAAAGATTGTCATTATTACGATGCATCAGCCACAAAGGATGAGTGTGCAGGTGTCTGGCGATGATGGAGAGAAGAGCAGATATAGACCATCTCCCCCCCAAATGCCCCAAACCCGCAAAAAAATACCCTAAAATAACGACTGTTTGTTTGTGGGACATTGCTGTGCGCAATTGCTGCCGCGTTCACCCACAAATATACAGTCAATTCACTTTACAGTGTGTTCTGTGAAGCGCTTTGGGACGTCCTCCCGACGTGAAAAGCGCTATATCAAATGCGAGGATTATTATTATTATTATTATTATTGGGGAGAGAAAGTACACTCGTGAACTCTGCCCCCTTCCCCCTCCTCATGCATTCATTCAAACAACCCCCCCCACCCACCCCACTCCACCCCCCAAGCCCCCCCACCCCCCCACCCCAGGACTTCCAAAACCTCAACACAACATGACAGACACGTTTGCAAACACTCCGCTCGTCATATCTATACACAGTGAGTTACCTTTCTGTTAAGGATGCGAGGAACAAGTTTTCTGATTCCGAATTCAGGCGTTATATATATATATTATATATACATATATATATAATACATATATGTGCGTGTGTGTGTGTGAGTGTGTGTGCACGACCAAAAAAAAAACCACGCGTGGTATTATCACCCAAACACGATTTTTTTTTAATGGCAGTTTTGATGGGGGCGAAACCTACGAGACAGGACAACATATGCACACTCTGAAAATCAACTTCACTGTCTGAACGCATTGATGTGCGTTGGACTTGACTGGGAAAGGAGAGATGAGGGAGGGGGTGGGGGGGGGGTGGGGAGGGGGAGAGGGGGGGAGAGGGGGAGAGAGAGAGAGAGAGAGAGGGAGGTGGGGAGAGGGAGAACATCAGCGCTGTCCGAATGCACAAGTGATGGAGTCTTGAGTCAAGAAATAGGGATCGGAATGAGGATTGGAATAGGAAAGGCGTTTGGCAAAGTGTGTAGCTTTTTGAGGGGGGAGGAGGTGGAAGGGGAGAGAGGGGAGGGGGGGGGGGGTGGGGGTGGGGGGGGTGTGTGCACTTGACAGATCGTGTGATTTGCAATGCAATGCAATGCAATGCTCCCCCTCCCCAGTCTGTGTGTCCCCCCCCCCCCCCCTCTCTCTCCCTCCCCACCCCTCCTGTGTGTTGGAGTTGAGGTAGTCCGGTGCGCATTGTGTCAGACGCGACCTGTTATGGCCACCACTGCTTCCGGGTTTCCAGCATTTCTCTCCAAACCCACCTCTGGCTCTGCAGCGCCGGGGTGGAGAGAGCGGTGGCAGCGACGCCGGGGCCCCTCTTAAAGAGCTTTGCAAAACTCCAGAGTGTGAGAGTGAGTGAGAGAGGAGAGAGGAGAGGAGAGAGGAGAGAGTGAGCGAGCGAGTGAGTCAGAGAGTGAGTGAGTGAGTGAGTGAGTGAGTGAGAAAGAAAGAAGAGAGAAGAGAGAGAGAGAGAGAAGAGCGAGATTCCTCTACACCGACTCTCCCCCTCTCCCCCCTCTCCCCCCCTCTCCCTCTCTCTCTCTCCCCCCTTCCCCTACGGCGCTCTCGCCACAGATCTATCGCCAGAGGCTTGAATTTTTTTTTCTCTCTCTTCCAATTTTTTTTTTGCAACACAGACACACACACACACACACACAAAAAAGAGGAGGTCGATCCTGGATTGAGCGACTCCGGGATCTGGTGTGTGTGTGTGTGTGTCTGTGTGTGTGTGTCTGTGTCTCTCTCTGTGTGTGTGTCTGTGTGTGTGTCTCTGTGCAGAAGGTGTCCGGACCAGTGCAAGAAGTGCACACACACACACACACACACACACACGATTTGGGGTGGATTCATCTCATTCAATTCATTCTCTACCTTGACAACCCTCGACCACCCCCCACCTCCCCCCCTCACCCCCACCCCCCTCCCCGATTGACAGCCAAGAGTGGGGGGAAAAAAAACCATGAGACTCTTCAGTTTTGTTTGAAAGGGGGGGGGTCTCTCCTTTCTTTCCCCCCCCCCCCCCTCCCCCACCTTTCCCCCCTTTCCCCTCCTTCCTCCCCTCCCTCTCTCCCTCCCTCCCTTCCTACCTACCACCTAAAAAAAACCTCTTGCTTTTTTTTTGGAAAGGGGGGGGGGGGGGGGGATCGTCCAGGAGATTTCTCGCTCTCTTTCCACGCTGTGGTGGTGGTGGTGGTGGTGGTGGTGGTTGGTGCGTGTTTTTTTTTGTGTGTGTGTGTTGCTTGTTTTGCGGTGGAGAAAATAACATTTTTTTGGTGTGTGTGTGTCGATCAGAAAGATATCTTTCCTCTCTCTTCCCTCTCCCCCTTTTCCCTCTGTATCTCTGTATCTCTCCCTCCCTCCCTCTCCTCCCATCTCTCTCTCTCTCTCTCTCTTCCCCCCTTCCCCCCTTCCCCCCACACCCCCCCCACACCCCCCCACATCCCCCCCGAGTGAATGCAAGTTAAGCTAAAGAGACTTTTGGACACTGATCGGACGCACAAGAATTCTCGATCTGGCTTTTTTGGAAGTGTTATTTCCCTTTTGATTAAGTGGCCGCGTAGGGGAACGGGGAGATCTGCCACAGCAAAAAAAATAAAGAGAGTGTTTATAGTAACAGAGGCAAACCCATGGCTCAAAGGGTGAGTTCAATTTCGTATTTTTTTCGCGTGTGCAGATGTGTGTTGTGTGTTGCGTTGTGTTGTGTTGTGTGTGTTTTCTTGAAACAACTGTTTACACGCGATGTTTCCCTCTTTTTTTTCATTTATTTTGGGGGAAAAGAGATGCGACTCTGTATGTGTGTGTGTGTGTGTGTGAGAGTGAGTGAGTGAGTGAGTTAGACTCACTCGTCGGATTATTTAGACGGCGCTGTTAGTTAATTACAGCAGTAACTTTTGCTATCAATATTTTTTGTCCTTTTTTTCTTACACTGTTATTGCCACTAACTCGAGAGAGAGAGAGAGAGAGAGAGAGAGGGAGAGGGGAAAAGGGGGGAGATGGAATACACACTGTGATTGCCACTAACTCGAGAGAAAAAGAGAGAGAAAGAGGGAGAGAAAGAGAGAGAGAGAAGGGGGAAAAGGAAATAAATGCATCTTTCTCGTGCTTTTTTTTGATAGTTCAGCTGTTGGTATGTTATGTTGCATTGCTCTCTCTCTCCCCATGTCTTGTTTTATTTCACTCTCTCCCTCTCTCTCTCTCTCTCTTGTATTTTTTCACCCCTCTTCTCTCTATCTCTCCCCTCTAATGCGTTGTTTTATTTCACTCACTCGTTATCTTTCGAGTCTTATTTCCACTCCCCTTCTCTCTCTCTCTCTCTCTCTCTCTCTCTATGTCTTGTTTTATCCATCTCTCTCTCTCTCTCTATTGTGCTTTTTTTCACCCCCCCTTTCCCCTGACTCCCCTTTCTCTCTCTCCCCCTCTCCCCCCCCCCCCCCCCCCTCTCTCTCTCTCTCTCTCTCTCTCCCCTCTCTGCACAACGCAGTACGATGAGATCCCACATTACGGCGGAATGGATGGCGTGGGGCTACCGACCACGATGTTTGGCGACCCTCACGCCCCCAGGTCCATGCAACCTGTCCATCACCTCAACCACGGGCCGCCGCTCCACAGCCACCAGTATCCGCACACAGCCCACGCCAACGCTATGCCGCCAGGCATGGGCTCCTCGGTCAACGACGCGTTAAAGAGAGATAAAGATTCAATATACGGGTGGGTATTGCACACACAGAGCCCCGGCTCCATCCTCGCCCATCGCTGCTGCTTCTCATCTTGTGTCAAAACCATTGCAATCGCTTGCAATCGCATGCAACACCCCCCCAACCACCCACACCCACCCAACCACCCATCCCCATCCCCATCCCTTCCTCCCTCCAGAGTCGGATGGTCTGTTCAGATTTATTTTCGCCTGTGTGTTATTTTGCGTGCAAATGTGCGTGTGTCTCTCTCTCTGTGTGTCTCTGTGTGTCTCTCTGTGTGTGTTTGGGGGGGGGGGGGTGTGCGTGTTTTTCTTCTTTAAAAAAAAGTCCACCTCTCTCTCCCTGCAGTTGCATGAGATGTTTTAAACAACTATTTTCCCCCCCACACACACACACCCACCTCTACGAAATCAAGTGGTCCTGTTCAGATTTATTTCGCGTGTCTGTGTGGATGCGTTTATTTAGGTGCAAATGTGTTTCAAAAAGTCCATCCCATCTCTCTCTCTCTCTCTCTCTCTCTCTCCCTTTCTTTTTCTCCTTCACTTTCTCTCTCTTTCTCGCAGAACGATTTCACTTAAACCATTGCGAACGAACAACAAGGCTCACTAGTGATTTTCATTTCCTTTCTCTTTTGCACTCAACCCCCCCCCCCCCTCCCCTCCCCAGACTCCTTCCTCACCAGCCCTCTTCTCTCTTCCTCCTCCCCCCTCCCCACCAACCCCCCCCCCCCCACACCACCAACCCCCCACACCACCAGTCAACACAATTCGCCGTGACATCCCCACACACACAAAAAAAAATGTTAGCAAAATGGCTGCGTGCAGTTTAAGTTATGTTATGGGCCATTTAAAGGGGGGAAAAAATAAACTTTCAACTGGACTGGACTCTGCGTTAAGTTTGCAAAAAAAAGTCCTGTTGATGTATGTTTTGGGGATGGGTTTGAGAGGGTGGCGGGGGGGAGAGAGAGAGAGAGAGAGAGAGAGAGTGTGAGAGAGTGGGGGGAGAGAGTGGGGAGGGGGTGGTGGGGAGAGAGTGAGAGAGAGAGAGAGTGAGACAGAGACAGAAAGAGATCACAGTCAGACGTCCCAGAGACTCGTTTTGCACCAATTCACGAATGCAATTTCGCCCTGAAATCAACAAGTAGTTGTTAGCGGTGAAAGTTGCAGAGAAACTGTGCCACAGAGGTGTGTGTGTGTGTGTGTGTGGTCAATGATTGCTCGTACCCACAAAATAAAACACGCACACACACAAACACTGCCTTTTTTCCCCCCTCTCTCTCTTATTTTCTCTTCCTTTCCCCCCCCCCCACCCCCTTCGATCACTTTCTGGTGCCGTTTTGACCCCGAATCAAATCTCCTTCTTTGCAGACATCCGCTGTTCCCACTTTTAGCACTGATTTTCGAGAAATGTGAGTTAGCGACTTGCACCCCTCGGGAGCCCGGGGTAGCGGGGGGGGACGTGTGCTCCTCGGAATCTTTCAATGAAGACATCGCAGTGTTCGCTAAGCAGGTTAGTGTCCCCCCCCCCCCCACACACACACACCCCCACACACCCCCCTCCCACACAACCCTCTCCCACACACCCCACACACTTTTTTTTGCTTCCAAAAAAATAAAAGGTGCCGAGGTGGAAATTGATGCACGTTGGGGGTGGGGGTGGGGGGGTGTTTTTTTTTGATGCACGTTGGGAGGGGGGGGGGGTGTTTTTTTTTGTTACAAAAAAAACACACACACACACCCCCTCCCAACGTGCATCAAAAAAAAACAGCCCCCAACGCGCATCAATTTCCACCTCGACACCTTTTATTTTCGATGAAACAATACACACACGTATCTATATATATATTCCCACACCCCTCACCCACCACCAAAAAAAAATAAGCTGTTTTTGAGTACTTGTGCAATGTAACGCATCATGTGCAAACTTACACGCATATTCCACACGCACACATCGTCCCTGTGTCAAAATATATACACACACACATATATATATATATAGGGAAATACTACATTTATAAAGCAAGTTAATTGCGCAACTTGCACAGTAATCGCAGAGATTTTGACTCCAATCTAACGATTCACAGAGGCGCGTTGTATAAATGAAACATTATCCCATGAAATTGGTTGCATAACTATCAGAAGAAATATAATGAATTCACCTTACGGTTGTGTGTATTCTATACATAATATATATATATATATTTGCAATCGCTTTAATTGCTCTTTAAAATATAATGGTTTACCTTCTGTTTGAACGCGAAATATTTTTTTTAATTGGAATAAAATAAAATTAAAAATCGGAGGGCGTTTGGTTGAGCGGCTCAGAATGAAGGCGATTTAATAATAATAATAATAATAATAATAATACGCGTTGCATTTGATATATATATAGTGTCTTAACACGTCGTTGAGACGTCTCAAAGCGCTTCGCAGAATACACTGCAAAGTGAATTTATTCGTGCGTTGTAAAAATTGCGGTGAAGTTTAGGAAACATTTCTACGTGTGTGTATATGTATGGATGGATACGTGAAAAACACACGCCGTGTATTTGAATTGAAGATTATTTTCTTGTTGTTTTTTTCAGATCCGAGCAGAAAAACCTCTATTTTCTTCCAATCCCGAACTGGATAATTTGGTAAGAGTATTTCCGAAGACATGGCTTGACTTTGAGAGAGAGAAAGAGAGAGAGAGAAAGAGAGAGAGAGAGAAAGAGAGAAAGAGAGAAAGAGAGAGAGAGAGAGCGTGGAATCCAACCGTGAAAAGCAGAAGGAATAGATGTAGAGTGAGGGTGTGGGGGAGTGGAGTGGAGTGGAGTGGAGGTGAAGCAATAGATTGAGAGCCACAAAATAAAAGCGCACAACTACCTTTGCAAATCAAGTCATAGCGACTTGACTGACTCGTGTATATGGTATCCCTGAGCTCACGGCGTGTTTTTGGCGTTCTTGCGGGTTTGGTGATCGATGATAAAAGACTATATGCTTTGCAATCCTTTTGCAAATCTGTGTTTTTTTTTGTGTGTGTGTGTGTGTGTGTGAGAGAGAGTGATTTTATGATAGCTTCGCCTGCCTGTCACACACAAAAAGATAACATCGCCTTTGCTCATTGTGCGTGTGTCAGTCCACTTAAGATGATGTGAGATTTTTGTATTCGTTTAATTTTTTTTTTGGGGGGGGGGGGGGGGGGTTGTCGCTTTACGACCCCCCCCCCTTTTTTTTTCCTTCTTCTACTTTTTAAAAAAAATATATTCAAAAAAAAGTTGAGGTTTGCCATACTTTAAAAAAAGAGAGAAAGGTTTTTTTTAAATATAATAATAATAATAATATTAGGAACAGCTAAAAGGAACGATCAACTTTCTGGATATGAGAGGTTTGAATATTTGTGGGAGGGGGGGGGGGTTTCCAAGAAAAAAAAACCTGCAGCTGATTTAGTCGTAGTTTTTTTTGGAGGGGGATAAAAAAGCAAATTGTATATATTTGTAAAGTTTGCGTTAATGGTTACATCCGAGTAGGGAATGAAGATTTCTGGAGGGGGTGGGGGGGTGGGGGGGTGGGGGGGGGATCTTGTGTTAGCTGGGCCGGGTGACTTTTTTTCTCCTCAAAAAACACTGTAAACTTTTGAAAGTTAAAACTAGTCTATACTTAGGACAGACAAAGCGAGAGAGGGACAATGTTTTATGATTGTGGGCTATTGCTCTCAGATCTCTTTGCTGCCTTTTCTCTCTCTGTCTCTCTCACACACTCTCACACACTCGCAGAGTGGAGCTCAACCAGGATTTTTTTTTGCCATTTGGACTAAATGGGGAAAAAAAAATGAAAACCCCCTTATGTAAAACACGGCGGTTGTGTGCTAATAAGACACTTTATTCCTGTCTTTCCAGATGATTCAAGCCATACAAGTATTAAGGTTTCATCTTTTGGAGTTAGAAAAGGTAATTTTTTTTTCACGTTTCTTCTTTTGTGTTGTGTTGTGAGTGTGTGTGAGTGTGTGCATGTGTGTGTGTGTGTGTGTGTGTGTGCAGCGGGCTATACAGTCAATCTGCGTGTGAGTGTGCACGAGTGTACGACTGCTTGTGAATGTGTGCGCCTGTGGGCGTATTAAGTTGTGCAGCGGGCGATATACAGGGAGACGCGTGAGAGTGCGTGTGCGTGTGTGACTGTGTGCAAGTGAACATGAGTGTGTGTGTGTGTGTGTGTGAGAGAGAGAGAGAGAGAGAGAGAGAGAGGGTAGTTAGTTGGCTATATGGTAGATCCGGGGTGTGAGTGTGTGCAAGAGAGTAGTAGCGGGCGATACAGGGGATGTGGGTTGAAGCAGATTTACATAAATATCTTACATACTGCTCTCCAGTAATTAGTGTCAAAGCCAATCTAACTTTACATTTCTCTTCCTGTTTAATTGCGATTCATTCCCCCGATAACCTCGCCACAAACGTCTGTTTTTATTATTTTTGGGTGGGGTTTATTCCCTTGCATCTCTTAGATATGGTTTAATTCTGATAATCTTGTTTATATATAAACCTTCTATCCCCCCCCCACCACCACCACCACCACCTCTCCTCTCTCCCCCTCTCTCTTCTCCACCCCTTCCAAAATCGACACCGAACGCTTCAAAAGGAAGAGGGATTTTTTTTTAAAAAAACGAGTCATCAGATGAGCACTAATTCCACAGAAAATCGGAATATTGCATCGATTAATCCACAGTGGGTTTTTTTTTTAAAAAAAAATGTTTTAAGGATAAACATAAGGCGAACAGTATTCGTGTAGTGTAAAAAAGTCAGAGAGAAAGAGAGAGAGAGAGGGAGAGAGAGAAATGTGACCGACAGCAGTGGGTGGGTGCAGTCTGCTGTTATTAAGGCAATATTTTGACTTTTATCTCATTGCCTCTTTCCCCCAAATCGCTCACTAAAAAAAATATACACTCAACTGTATGTGTGTGTGTGGGTGTGGGTGTGTGTGTGGGTGTGTGTGTGTGCAAATCAGAGGGAGAGGAGAGGAGAGGAGGGGAGGATGGTTGGTAACTTGGTGTGTATCATCTCTGCCACATTCAAATCGTGCACATCTTCTTTTTTTTGTTGGGGTCAGTCCACAATTCCTTCGAAGATTATAAGCAAACAGGACAGATGAAATTAAACTGTTTACCTTAAATGTCACTCACCCGGGGGTCAATCCTCTAATGACCACAAACCCCGGGAGCAGACGAATTTAACACGGGTGTTGAATGTGTTGTAACTAGTGAATCATCTTGTCACTGTCAATTTTCGGCGATATCTCTATTTTTTCTGTCCCCCCCCCCCCCCCCTCCACTCCCCATTTGATCTGATTTGCAGAAAGTTATTCCGAATTCCCCGACGCCTCTGTTGTCCCTATTCCCCCGGAGTGCGATCGCACATCACAACGTTTCGATATTTTGTTGGGGAGCTGTGGAGGGGGGGTTTGTGTCGCTTTTGTCAGTTGCATTTGAGGGGGTTCATTGGGGAGGGGGGTTCATTGGGGAGGGGGTTCATTGGGGAGGGGGGTTCATTGGGGAGGGGGGTTCATTGGGGAGGGGGTTCATTGGGGAGGGGGGTTATTGAGGGTTATTGGGGAGGGGGTTATTGGGGAGGGGGGTTCATTGGGGAGGGGGGTTAATGGGGGGGTTATTGGGGAGGGGGTTATTGGGGAGGGGGGGGTTGCGTGTGTGTGTGAGTGTGTGTGTGTTTTGGGGGTTTGCGTTATTATCCATTTTCTTTCTTTCGTTGTTTCTCTCTCTCTCTCCTCTCTTTCTCTCTCTCCTCTCTTTCTCACTTTCTCTCTCTCCTCTCTTTCTCTCTCTCCTCTCTTTCTCTCTCTCTCTCCTCTCTTTCTCACTTTATCTCTCTCCTCTCTTTCTCACTTTCTCTCTTTTTCTCTCTCTCTCCTCTCTTTCTCTCTCTCACCTCTCTTTCTCTCTCTCTCCTCTCTTTCTCTCTCTCTCTTCTCTCTTTCTCTCTCCTCTCTTTCTCTCTCTCTCTCCTCTTTCTCTCTCTCTCTCTCTCTCTCTCTCTCTTTCTCTCTCTTCCTCTCTCCCCCCCCCCGACCCCCCTTTCCCCAAACCCCTACAATCCTCACCGACCCAACAACAACCCCACCGACCACCTTTTTTTCTTTTCCTCCCCCTCTCTCCGCCACCGCTTTGCGAAGGTGCACGAGTTATGCGACAATTTCTGCCACCGGTACATCAGCTGTTTGAAGGGGAAAATGCCCATCGATTTGGTGATAGACGAGAGGGAAAGTGGCTCCAAATCAGACAGCGAAGAAATCATCCGATCGTCTTCTGGTAACATCACCGAACAGGTACACACGATGGCTCCATATTTCCTTCTGTGTGGGGAGGGGAAAAAAAAAAAAAAAGACCTTTTTTATTTGAATTCATTCGTTGAATTCATTTGCAATTTATTTCAGACCTTTCAGATGAATTTCCCGTCCGTTCAAAGTGACCCATTTTTGCATTTTTTTTTGCAAAAAAAAGTGTGGGGGGTTGGGGGGTGGGTGGGTGTGGGGGGGAGGGGGGGGGATAAATGTGTCTTGGTTTGGAAGCAGCTCTGTAAACCTCTTTGGCAAAGTTTTGATCTGCTTTTCCCATCGCTTTCTTCGTTTTGCTTTTTGTTTAGGAATAATTTTGTTTGCGCGTCTCTTGCGGGTGATGGGGAGTTGGGAAGTATTTCCTAACGGTTTTGGAGGTGGAGGGGGAAGTGAACAGGAAAGGGGGAGGGGGTGGGGGCCAGTGGAGGGGGGAGGGAGAGAAAGAGTGTGTGGGGGTTGATGGGGTGGGGGTGTGGGGGGGGGGGGTTAAGGGAACTGGCAAACAATTTTGTTGGAGAGAGTGAGTGGAAAGAGAGTCAGAATCTGACAGAGAGAGAGTGAGTGAGTGAGTGAGTGGAAAGAGAGAGACAGACAGACAGACAGAGAGAGAGAGAAGGAGAGATAGAGAGAGAAGGAGAGATAGAGAGAGAGAAGGAGATAGAGAGAGAGAGAGTCGGAAATCTGACCTACACAGAGGAGAGAGAGAGAGAAATAATCTTTCTCAATCCTTGTCTTACGGGTTGTACTTGGCTGCCTGTCTCGTCCGTATTCCCTGCCGATCGCTTGTGTGTTTGTGTGTAGTGTTGTGTGTTTGTGTGTAGTGTGTGTGTAGTGTGTGTGTGGTGTGTAGTGTGCGGTGTGTAGTGTGTGGTGTGTGTGTGTGCAGTGTGTGTGTGGTGTGTAGTGTGTGTGTGTAGTGTGTGTGCGGTGTGTAGTGTGTGTGTGTGCAGTGTGTGTGTGCAGTGTGTGTGCGGTGTGTAGTGTGTGTGTGTGCAGTGTGTGTGTGCAGTGTGTGTGCGGTGTGTAGTGTGTGTGTGTGCAGTGTGTGTGTGGTGTGTAGTGTGTGGTGTGTAGTGTGTGTGTGCAGTGTGTGTGTGGTGTAGTGTGTGTGTGCAGTCTGTAGTGTGTGTGTGTGTGCAGTGTGTGTGTGTGTGCAGTGTGTGGTGTGTGTGTGCAGTGTGTGTGTGCAGTGTGTGTGCAGTGTATGTGTGTAGTGTGTGTGTGTGTGTGTGGGGGGGGGAGGTGGGGTGGGGGGACATCAGTAGCTAAAAATGTGAGCACTTCAGTGATCATTAAATCCCCCCCTCTCCCCCCACACCACACCCCCCCCCCCCCCCCAGTCTGCTCTCCCTGCTGTACCCTGGCCGGGGGTGTTGGGTTGAGGTCAGGGGGCGGTGGTGATCAGCGGAGCCGCTCTGAGCGCACTGATTTCGGGGCAGCCCGGGGGGGGGGGGGTAGGGGTGTGGGGATGGGGGGTGGGGGGTGGGAGGAGGCGGTGGGGAGTTGGTTGGGGGGTGGGGGGGGTGGTTGGGGGTGTGGGGGGGGGTTGGGGGGTAGGGGTGTGGGGTTGGGGGTTGGTTGGGGGTGGGGATGGGGGGGTTGGGGGTGGGGGGTGGGAGGTAGGGGTGTGGGGATGGGGGGGGTGTGGGGTGTGGGGGGGGGAGGAGGCGGTGGGGAGTTGGTTGGGGGAGTGGGGGGGGGTTTGGGGTGTGGGGGGGGGAGGAGGCGGTGGGGAGTTGGTTGGGGGAGTGGGGGGGGGTTTGGGGTGTGGGGGGGAGGAGGCGGTGGGGAGTTGGTTGGGGGAGTGGGGGGGGTTTGGGGGGTGGGGGGGGGAGGAGGCGGTGGGGAGTTGGTTGGGGGTGTGGGGGGTGGGAGGAGGCGGTGGGGAGTTGGTGGGGGGGTGGGGGGGGGTTGGGGGAGTGGGGGGGGGTTGGGAGGTAGGGTGTGGGATGGGGGGGGTTGGGGGGGGGGGTGGGAGGAGGCGGTGGGGAGTTGGTTGGGGGGGTGGGGGTTGGTTGGGGGGTGGGGGGGGTTGGGGGGTGGGAGTTGGTTGGGGGGTGGGGGGGGTTTGGGGGGTGGGGGGGAGGCGGTGGGGAGTTGGTTGGGGGAGTGGGGGGGGTTTGGGGGGTGTGGGGGGGAGGAGGCGGTGGGGAGTTGGTTGGGGGAGTGGGGGGGGGTTTGGGGGTGTGGGGGGGAGGAGGCGGTGGGGAGTTGGTGGGGGGGTGGGGGTGTGGGGGGGGGGAGGCGGTGGGGGGTGGGGGTGTGGGGGGGGGGGGGTGGGGGAGTGGTGGGGGGGGGGGGGGGAGGAGGCGGTGGGGAGTTGGTTGGGGGTGGGGGGGTGGGGGTGTGGGGGGGAGGAGGCGGTGGGGAGTTGGTGGGGGGGTGGGGGTGTGGGGGGGGGGGAGGTGGGGGGGGGGGGGGGGGGGTGGGGGGTGGGGGGGGGGGGAGGTGGTGGGGAGTTGGTTGGGGGGTGGGGGGGGGGAGGGGCGGTGGGAGTTGGGGGGGGGGGGGGGGTTTGGGGGTGTGGGGGGAGGAGGCGGTGGGGAGTTGGTTGGGGGGTGGGGATGGGGGGGTTGGGGGGTGGGGGGGGAGGAGGGGTGGGGAGTTGGTTGGGGGGGGGGATGGGGGGGTTTGGGGGGTGGGGGTGGGAGGAGGCGGTGGGGGTTGGTTGGGGGTGTGGGATGGGGGGTTTGGGGGGTGGGGGGGGGGAGGCGGTGGGGGTGGTTGGGGGTGTGGGGATGGGGGGGGGGGTGTGGGGGGGGAGGAGGCGGTGGGGAGTTGGTTGGGGGGGTGGGATGGGGGGGGTTGGGGGTGGGGGGGGGAGGAGGCGGTGGGGAGTTGGTTGGGGGGTGGAGGAGGCGGTGGGGAGTTGGTTGGGGGGTGGGAGGAGGCGGTGGGGAGTTGGTTGGGGGATGGGGGGGGTTGGGGGGTGGGGGTGGGAGGAGGCGGTGGGGGGTTGGTTGGGGGGGTGGGAGTTGGTTGGGGGGTGTGGGTGGGGGGTGGGGGTGTGGGGGGGGGAGGAGGCGGTGGGGAGTTGGTGGGGGTGTGGGTGGGGGGTGGGGGTGTGGGGGGGGTTGGGGGGTGTGGGGGGGAGGAGGTGGTGGGAGTTGGTGGGGGGTGGGGGGTGGGTTGGGGGGGGAGGAGGCGGTGGGGAGTTGGTTGGGGGAGTGGGTGGGGGGGGTTTGGGGGGGGGGGGGGGGCGGTGGGGGGGGTTGGGGGGTGGGGGGGGTTTGGGGGTGGGGGGTGGGGGAGGCGGTGGGGAGTTGGTTGTGCAGCTGTTTCTGCTGCTTTTTTTTTCGCGCACAACACACGATCGCCGTCAATCTCTTCTCTCTCTCTTCTCTCTCTCCCTCTATTTTCCCCCTTTGTTGCGCACAAATAAAAGCCATCGCCACGACTGGGGTTTGCGTGTGTGTGTGTGTGAGAGAGAGAGAGAGAGACACAGAGAGAGAGAGAGAATTAAAGACTTCTCTCTTTCTTTCTGTCACAACGTGTGAGAGTTTTTTTTTGTTTGTTTCGAAGTTGTGTTTTTTTTGAAATTCTTTCAAATTTCGTAGAAACGCAACAGGTTTCAAAAGTTGCTATTAATTTTCCCCCCTCACCCCCCCCTGACCCCCCCCCCTCACCCCCTCATCCCCCCACTCAACCCCTCACCCCCCCACTCCCCCCCCACACCCCAACATCCCAAAGGATAAGACTTCGGGGCGAAACGTTTATAGATTAGCATCGTGAGACACAGAGAGATCGAGTGTGTGTGTGTGTGTGTGTGTTTACATTGCAATGCTGGTTGTGTATGTGTGTGTGTGTGTGTGTGTTTATGTGTGTCTCTTGTATGCATGTGTGTGTTCTGTGTGTCTATGTATGTATGTGAACGCGTGTGCGTGTGTGTGTGTGTGTATTTTCATTGCATTGCTGAGCTGGCTGTGTATATCTGTGTATATGTGTGTGTGTGTATGTGTGTGTGTGTGTGACTGTCTGTATGGGAGTGTATTTATATTGCATTGCTGAGCTGGCTGTGTATATGTGTGTATATGTGTGTGTGTGTATGTGTGTGTGTGTGTGACTGTCTGTATGGGAGTGTATTTATATTGCATTGCTGAGCTGGCTGTGTATATGTGTGTATATGTGTATGTGTGTGTGTGTGTGTGTGTGTGTGAGACTGTCTGTATGGGAGTGTATTTATATTGCATTGCTGAGCTGGTTGTGTATATGTGTGTATATGTGTGTGTGTATGTGTGTGTGACTGTCTGTATGGGAGTGTATTTATATTGCATTGCTGAGCTGGCTGTGTATATGTGTGTATATGTGTGTGTGTGTGTGTGTGTGTGTATGTGTGTGTGTGACTGTCTGTATGGGAGTATATTTATATTGCAAATGCTGGACTGGCTGTATATGTGTGTGTGTATGTGTGTGTGTGTGTCAATGTAATTTTGTGTGAGATGTAACTCCTTACCTTAAATACAGCTAAAAGTCAGATAAAAAATAATCGTCAATCGAATTTTGCTGTTTTTTTTAAAAAAACATTCAGAAAAAAAAGTCAGATCTCACTATTATAGTCACTACTATAGTCAGATCTCACTATTAAATATCATACATACGTCAGACGTATGTATGATATCACTTTAATAGTGAGATCTAACTTTTTTTTCTGAATGTTTGTATGTATGATATCACTTTAATACTGAGATCAGACACTCACACACACACACACATGCACACAGATACACATACATACATGCATACACACACACATACTTACACATATCAACGTCATATAAGTCCCACAACTGTATCGTTAGAGACTTTTTAACAATTTAAAAATATAAAAGTCACTCGATTTCCCAATTGTCCGATTGAAGTTGGAGATGGTAATTATTTATATAATACTCTAATATTATAGTATATTTATTATATTAAAATAAATAGAAATTACTCCCTCCCCCCAATCCAGAAAGCGACTCGGGTTTTGCATTTATTTTCGGAGGAAATAA